GATACTAACAATTAACGGCCTATAACTCTAATATCCAGCTTTGCAAAAATTATTGAGAAAATTATAAAAACACGACTTCTAAACTTTTTTGATAAACATAATCTGATTATTGAAAAACAAATTAATTCCAGAGAAACAAGTCTACCCAAGGCGCAATTTCTTTTTTGACATCAAAATTATACAAATTACTGGACCAGTAGAAACCTTACACGACTCAGGAATCAGAGGCAAGGCTTATAACCTCATGAATAGTTACCTTTCCAACAGAACGCAGTCGGTATGAATAAATAATTCCTTAAGCACAAACAAATTGATAACGTATGGTGTCCCACAAGGGACAGTGTTAGGCCCCTTATTATTCACACTTAAATTAATAGCCTGCTGAGCTTAAAATCTGAAGCAGGCGATACTACTATCGTTTATTCGAATAACAACTCGTGGGACGATCTAAAAGTAAACGTTGAAATAGACTTAACAATAATTGCAGACTGGTTCAAGCATAAATGCCTAACTACTAACTTTTAAAAGACTATGTTCATGCCATTCACAAATCACAGAAACAAATTACCATCCTTTGTATCTATACGGATTGACTGTGATAATATAAATACTCAAATAAATTTAACAAACAAAATAAAACATTTAGGTGTATAATGACTCACATTTAAAGTGGAATACACATATTGATCATGTAATAACCAATTTGAGACCATTATTGTTTAAACTAATTATATGTTTGTATATATATGATAAACACTGAGAGCAGTTAACGATACGGCACAAAGAGAAGTCAAGTAAATGCAAGACTTCCATGCCTTAATCACTGCACAAAAACAATTTTTAGGGAAACCCGTTTATTAACTTTCAAATTCAAAGTTTGACCGGAGGTCGGCACTGGTTATCGTTACCCGTTGGCAATAATATTTAGTTTTTAATTTGTTAGAGTTCAATGGAAAAAAATTAGAGGATATGAGTATCTCAATTCGAACAAAAATGTTTTTGCCCTCATAAGCTGGGACTAATTCATACAAGAGCCTGTCCAAACATATGTTCTGTTGACAGCCTGATAGATTTACCACATGATGCCACGTTACCCAAGATATTACTGTTGTTGTCCAACATTGAAAAAGAGAAACGTTGAGTTTTATCCATAAGGAATACTTTCCTTCTACCTTACTTATAACTTAATTCTGCATACATTCTGCATACATACAACTTGAAGATCCTCTAGAGTAAATTCATTGATTAGCTCGTCAAAGGCGCCTGGCCAAATACAATTTTCAAGTTCCATAAGAAAAAAAACACTAGTAATATATCCGTTTATATTCGTTTATCCGATCACAGACGGCCAACCATGGATAGCGGCTCCACTTGGCATGGTGTAGGCTTGGTTTTTGTGGACAACTAACAAAAGCTGCGCAACTCTTCTCTATTCAGAGTTTGAGGTTTATCGAAACAAGGTAGATAAGAGTTTGTGCTGTCTTGCTTAGAAAAAATTATTCGAAGTATTGCTCTCAAAAGTTGTTCATTTCATACTAAAACAGAGTCTGGGAAAGATCTGAAGCCTTTCCTTTTGCGACCTATTCTTAACTCTGCGGCCACTGTGTCCTTTCTTGAAAATTAAGCCGCATCAACCTATGTTCCCTCAGCATATTCTATACAAACTTTGTCAAAGGATTGCTTGAGTAGAAGACCACCAACAGACCGCTCAATCGACAGGGACACGGGAGGAAGTAAGTCAAATATATTCTTGTGGTGATCCATGTATAAAGCTTGTTAAGTATAGTAGGAAAATTCTGCAACATAACCATGCTTCTCTCGTTATGCGTGGAAAGTAACACTTGATTTGCACTATACCTGTAAATATTCTCATAGCAAGATTTCAGAATGCAACGGTTCATTTTAAGCATGGCAGTTTTAGCCCGTTGCTTCATTGTTATTGTACCGAACAACATACTACAAATAAATCTCCATGTTTTGCTGACCACCAAATGAAACCACATGTATGTTGTATTGAAAGTCTAGCAATGATTCGGCCAGCTAGGTGGCCTTTTTCAAAGCGCAACAAAAGTTTTTCGTATCTGGCCTCCATTGTTTTTACCACTACTATACAGTGTGTTCCAGTAACGGCGTCACACAAATCGAGCTCAGTCGAGAGCTGTCTCAGGAAGGCACTTCCGCTACCAAGAGACCTACAACGTCTCCAAAGCGACAAGCCGCCATGAAGATATACGTTATCTTGGACGTACCAGACACCTCACACTTTCTCATCGTTCCCAAAGCGCCAAGCGACTTTAAGAATACGAAAAACAGAACTTCGGCCTTCTAAAGTTGCATCTGCATTATTCATGGAACCTAAATAAGAGAGAGCACCTAATAATTAACCATAAGGAAAACCTATAAAAAACACTGTTGGAGTTTCCAAAAATTTAGGAAACTGTAAAAAAGAAGTGAACCAAACGCCCGATATGGTCATGGACATTTATACCTCAAAAAACTGTTAGACACCCACATTGGAGGTTTCCACATATACGAATATGCAAGGCATGGCTTAAATTTTGTATGTGGTTTTTTCTGTACGGTTTTGTTGACTGAGGAGGGATCCAGATTCTTAAACTAAGAAAAGACTAAGCTTATTTGTACAAAATTACTCAGCACAACTTTGCTTTTTCCGACAACAAACTTGAAAATGTGTCTTGCAGATATCATTAAATATATTATTATCATTAATGGGCTTTCTGAATTAACAAATTAGTGGATTTTAAACAAACTGTAGTAGCTGTATTTAATGGCAGACGTATATAGTTCATAAGTCTCGTTTTAGCTATGAAGAATAAACGAGAAATTAGACCTTCTTTAGAGCATGTGACTACACTATTTAATTGCTGCGGTTTTGTGTCTGGCCGAACAGGGTAGCGCATTTCACATTTGCCTCATACTAAAGTAAAATGAATTTTCTATTTTGTGTATTAGCATTACTTACAAATTATGTAGTTAAGGAGAGTCCAGAAAGGTGCTGTGACAACTTTGGTGGTTTGTAAGGGCCTAATAACTGCCTAGTTGGGCCCTCCTTATAGTGGAGGCGACTCATTCGCTTTGAGGGTTACAAGAGTTATCAACTATTCTTTTTTAAGGCTTCCTTATTTGATCCTTCCTATCTACCTATCTTCTTAGGAAAGTTGTTTGGTAACCTGCCAACCCTTCACCCCTATGGCTATGTAAAAAAGCATTCCTCAGACAAAGTTATTTTAACAACACGGAAAAGCGAATGGGCATCAAACCCAGAGGGATGTAATGGATTATTGGTAGGAAATATGAACTGCTAATGGACAAGAAGCTATTACTCTACAACGTCTTTTTGAAACTATTTTGGACGTATGTCATCCGGCTATGATCAGCTAGCAACAGAAATGTCGCTTTTCCGTCTGACGGCGACGGGACCAGAACAATCATAAGTGATGACATAGACAATTGATTCGATATAAGATGAAAATCACTCACTGGAGTGATAATCTGCCTCTTTTTTTTAGTTAGATAAGTCCGACACGGATTGCTGCTTCCTATCTAGATTTTTAAATATGAGGGTGAGGAACCATCATGAACAACGATAACCTATTTTTTCTTGTGTATTTTGTTTCTTAATCCAGCCAACATTACCATTCCTATACTTAAACATCCCTGTGCATAGTTAACATTTTTTTAGTTCAACGACCACCTGTCCATGCAATACCTGCACTGGATCATCATGATTTCGTGCTGTTACAGTTACGTGTAGGCAGGTAATTATCACGAAAAAAGTAGACTGTAAACGTTTCAGTTTCATGTTCTCAGCAATTTCTATCAAAGCAAACACAGTAACTAAATGTTTTGAATCGAGCAGCACGAAAAGCGTAAATGTAGTATTTCTGCTGGAGTTACATAAAGCCCAGGCATGCTTCATTTGAAAGCGAAAAGTGAATTCAATAGATGAATTTATATTGCTTTAGTGATGGAAACAGCGGAAATCAACTTGACATAAGCGTAGCATTCGGTACTATCAACATTTTATACAGTAGTTTCCAGAAAGCCTTTCCCCGTGCTTATTTTTCAAACGGCAAGCTGAAATTGGAGATTGTAAATTGACGCATGAATAAATACTATATACTATGTATAGTCAAAAATTTCCAAATATTTTAAATGGAATATGAGGGGTCGTGTGATACATTGTGCTGAAGGTCCTTTTGAGTACTTTATGACATTCGAATGTAAAGTCACTGTTTTAAATCGCTTGCGGCTTGACAAATCGTTATTGTATCACACATCTTGAGCACATCTTGAGATAGCGAAGTAAAACATCTGCGCATTCGAGATCCAATAACAAACCGTAGGGAAATAGGTAAAAAAGCTATTTCACAATATGTGGTACATAAAAAAGCTTCCCTACTAAAAATATCAGTATGTCTCCATTAATAACGAATTATTTAATAAGTCGGCCATAAAATGAGTATACCCCAAGGCTCCATATACTGCAACTTTGCTAATGAAGTGGTTCCCTCTTTCGATCTAACTAACAACGATCGGGACTTACTTTTCAATATCAGCAGCGGCAGCAGCGGTGGCCGCAGTAGTAGACTCTTTGCTCTCCTGATCAGTGGCCGTGCGCTGTGCGGGTTCGAGTCCCGTCCTAGGAGAAATTTTTCTCTTGGCTATGGATGTTGTGATTGTCCGTAGGTGAAATAGGTAAAAAAGCTATTTCACAATATGTGGTACATAAAAAAGCTTCCCTACTAAAAATATCAGTATGTCTCCATTAATAACGAATTATTTAATAAGTCGGCCATAAAATGAGTATACCCCAAGGCTCCATATACTGCAACTTTGCTAATGAAGTGGTTCCCTCTTTCGATCTAACTAACAACGATCGGGACTTACTTTTCAATATCAGCAGCGGCAGCAGCGGTGGCCGCAGTAGTAGACTCTTCGGTCTCCTGATCAGTCGCCGTGCGCTGTGCGGGTTCGAGTCCCGTCCTAGGAGAAATTTTTCTCTTGGCTATGGATGTTGTGATTGTCCGTAGGTGGTAGACGGTCTCTGACTGTCGAACGTGGAGGTACCACCCGGCGGATCTCGTAGGCGGAGCCAGAATGTGTGCATGTTGCATGCACACGTGTTCCCTCGCCAGAGTCCGTGTGGCATCCCCCCTTTCCCCTGTATCCCCCTATAGCCCCACGGTACCCAATGGGTGTTTAGGCCTTAGGTCTTCGTTGTAGTTGGAATATAAAAAAAATAACTAAATGCTAATAAATCTAAAATAATGTTTTTTGGGTCAAGAAACAAGCGTAGTATAGCAGAAAACCTTTATTAATGAAATTTCATTACTAATTGTTACCATTAGCACAAATTTAGGGTTATGGTTGGACAACGAATTAAAATTTGACTTCCATGTTCAAAATCATATAATATTCTCAAACAAATATATTCTAAAAGAAATATATTAAACATTAAACTGAAAATGCCATTTTGTGATTTTAAGCGTTCCGGACTGCGCAAGCGTATTATGGCCCAGCTATAGTAAAAAGCGATAAAGACAAGTTACAGTGGCTACAAAATTCTAGTTACCGTTTATCTCTAGGTATACGGAAATTTGATGGTATAGGCCGTGTGTACAATGAACTTGGAGAATTTCAAAAATTACCACAGCTTATGTTTGACTAATAAATCTTTAGTGAATGAGAAACCAGAATATATTTTGAATAGACTCATCAAATTTGAAAATAACAAGTTGGCTACTAGAGATCAACAATTATTATCTATACCTAAGCACTTGACGTCTCTCTACAAAAAGAACTTCTCTTATACTGCTGCCAAGTTATACAATAATCTTCCATACAAATTTTGAAATTATGCTCTAAATAATTTTAAAAAGAAGCTGAAGTCGTGGTTACTCAGCAGTACATAATCACCCCCCTCACCGCTCGACCATCATAATTTTGAAATAAATGTGTCACTTACGATATCTTTGTGTAGTTTCACAAAAAAAACATATAAATCACTTTACTGTTCACTTATTATTTATTATACTTATATATACTTCATTATTCATTTTTGAGCCATCCAGAAAGGTAAATTGAATGGTCAATTTCATGTTCGGATGTACGGTTGAGTTGAGAAATATCATCATGGTAACACTTTACCGATTGGATTCTCAAAATTTTAGTCAGTGGACTTGTGGTACCAACCCCCTTCGTGATGTAGAAGATCATACTATGTCTTTTGTACGTGTGAGGTGGAGATACAAAGATATCCATGGAATACCGGAAATGGAAAGATAACGAATGAGATCCATTGTTATGATAAATATCCAAGGATTTCCAAGAAGATACAATAAAAACGGAGCGAGAGAGACTTTTGCATCAAAAAAGAGTCTGCGGATAGCCTCTTGCTCTTAGCAGATTATTAAACGATTCCTATGTCCCCCTTCTGTGCCTTAACTGCGCCTTAAGCAGACATGTGAACAGTACTCGAGGCTAGGACTTATTTCGGCCTTGTACGGAGTGAGGAAGTCATATAAAGAAAAGTACTTCTCAGCCGACAACAAATATCTTGCGAGTTTTCCCGCAGCTACGGCTATTGACGGGATGTTTTCGTGCCAAATCAGGTCCTCGGTGGTCTGGACTCCGACTGTAGATACCTTGTGTTTGCTATCGCTCATATTGCAACATGCAATTGGAGCCACGAGAACTTCTCCGAAACTCCCAAACAGATGACTACCCCCAACAGCCCCATATATACGAACCGGCCATGTCTCCCTTCTCCCTAAACACGGCTTCACTACCCCTGTGCCAGTATGTACATACCCTGCGTTTGCCATCGGCCGCGTGGCATATGCCAATATCCTGTCCAGCCGTTGTGTAAAGTCCAATTTATGATTTATAGCCGGTTAAAAAAATTCCTCTCTACGCGGATTTCGATGTGTTTTCGAACACTGCACAACAAAATAGAAACGACATGCGATGGCGCAAAAACTATGAGGGGCTTTGATTTTATTTTTTTGCTAATGCATCACGTACATGTTCGACAACACGTTATGGTATGTGTATTTCTAATAGCGGCATATGTAGCGGAAAATGGACAAAGCTCTTAACAAGGTTTGATAATTATCTCTGGTATAAGTAAACAGGTAGTGCAACATTTCTAATGTGGATGACTGGGATGCTGTTTCTGAGACTTCCATTAACAATACTATTCATTCAAGTTACCGTCTTTTAATAATAGGATGCGTCAAATGCAAAAACAAATAAAGAAAAGATATAGGCGATCACATAATGGTCAATTCTGATTATTTTACAAAATTAACATAATATATATCGCAATGCGGGCACTTATTACCACATTGATCTCCTCTTTTTAGCAAACCAATTTTTACTTTAACTTTAATGTGTGAATGTGTGAATCACAATTTCTAGAATTTTATAATAAACTCAAATAACGTCACAACGATTGAAGATACGTATAAACTTTATCATGCAAAATTCAATAAAAACTTCATGGAAAATCTATAAATTAAAAATCTAAGGCGTAACGGTATATCTTATTTTTGGGTGACCCTTTATTGTACGGCTATAGATGAAGAGACGTCCCCCAGAAACTCAAAACTCGAAATATACCAGGAGATGCACAAATGGGGGTGCGTTCTTCTCGTTGGGCCTGCCTGTAAGTAATTCAAACATGACAGGAGCTAAAGGAACCAACAATAAATAGAAAGAAGCATTCCAACACACTGAAGAGACGAGTACCTTAAGATAAAACCATATGCATAACACTACTTAAAAATTATTGGTTTTCACAGAGAACTTCATTTATGGAATAATACTCTTTTTTAAGAAACACTTTTATATTAGTGATCCAACAAAACATAAATCGTATCAACCTAACCCTTGACATACTTCAATATAGTGGAAGTAATGATAATTGTTAGCCCATCGATGTTATCTTGTAGTGAATATCTTCATATTATCCTCCTGGTGGTGGAAACCTTATTTTTCCTCAAAATTGAATGGCAATGGTATTATTTGATGCTTTTTTTATCTCTTTAGTCCTGATTGTAAAACTGACAAATTACAGTTTATTTGAAAATGCCGAAATGAACGTATTTGAAAAACATATTTTACGTTGATCGATGCTTCCTCGAACAAGTGGCTCTTTAGTAACTGTAACAAGTTGCTGGCAACTTTATAAAAATTTTATAAACAGTTAAACATGAACTTGTTCGACAATTTGGATTCGTACCTACAACGGTAAGATAAAATACATTTACTTCGTAATGTTTGTCACAAGGGCTCAAATCTAGCTGTGGCATTTCTGAAAGGTCAAAGAACGGAAGTGGAAACGGTGTGTAGGGCTGGAAAGGACACATAGAGGTATGGAGGGGTCGGTTAATCCGCGAGAAGGAAAATTCGCATTCCCATTCACTCCATTAAATATTAACTGACGTAAACATGCGCCACTCACATTTGTTAAATTGTTAATTTCATCCAGCTGGTACGCGGAGATAGAGAAATTAGATTCCGCTTGTTTCTTCTCTCATTTCCGTTGAGCAGAATAAGGAATAAATCAAGTGATGGGCTTGAAGTGTTTTATTATTCTTTTTGGAACATTCATGTCTTCTCTGCTCCCAAGTCAAAAAAAAGTTTTAACTCATTATTTTGGTGAACTGTGTGTTGAATGTTAAAAAAATTTGTCTACTGTAAGTCATCATGCAATCCTTACTGTATACAGAGCACTGATGATCAGGCCTCATGAAAATGTATACTAAGACTACATTGTCCAGAGAATTAAGGTACTACTATTCAGTAACGCCCCTTTACCTCCACAAACCGTTTTTCGCGTTGACTACTACCTGTTGGTGATCTTGCAAATTTCTTCCAGTATGTCAACGGTATTTTTTGTTGAAAGTCTGTACCATTTCAAAAACCACATGTCATAAGATCTATAGTGATACTACTTGTGACGTGTGTAAAATTTAAATAAAATTGTTATTTCTGTCCATTTTTGAAACATTTTGTTTATTTTATTTATCCTCCCAACATCTGTCCTGAAAAAAGTTTAAAATTGAAATGCAATAATCTGGTAGGACATGGTAATCAATGATTATACATGACAATTTTATATTATCATCAAATGAATTTATTGAGAAGGATATGATGACTACTAGTCTAATCATATTAGACGAAAATACCCCCGGTTTGCGAAATAATTGTAAAGTCTGGTTTAATTGCTGCAAGCTGTTCAAGGACGTATTTGAAACGTGGACATATAAAACTGGTAAACAAATTTTTGGTGGGAAAACTTTTTAATCGACAACAAAGAATGAGAAAAAGTGTGTTTTGGGATTCAATCGGAAGTGTTGGAAGGAACGAAACAACCACTCATATAAGATTCTTAGCTATTTATGAGACCTACAAAATGGTGCCATACGTAAAAAGATCCGACTAATAGCAAATAAGTTATGTTCGCAAACCAAGCAAAACTGCAGGTTATAGCACTATGCGACGATTGTTTCTCGCAGAGACTTGAAACACTTCAAATTCGCAGGACTCGTACTTCTAAATAACTACAACAAAATTGGAGTAAATTGGTCAAGTAGTTTTTGAGAATTTCTAATTGTTTACTCCAAAACAGCAGTCTTCCGGCCATCACTACTTGTTTATTGAGCAATATACTGCATTTTATCGCGAAATACACCTGTTTACCTTGCCAATATGACTCGCAAACCATTCTGGAAGATAAATGTTATTCTTATGCAAAAAAGGATGTGTTACATTTTTTCTTTTAAACAGATTCAAACATTTCGCATTTGTGAGTAATTCACAACACTTTGTTTTAAAATGTGTATAGTAACCAATTGTTTTCGAATATCGTAGCCCATTTCTTCAATTACTCACAAATACGAAATGTTTGAATTTGTTTAAAAGAAAAAAAAACGGAACCTTTGTTTTTTGCATAAAAATAAGATTTACCTTCCGGAATGGTTTTTGGAAGGTAAACACGTGTATTTTGCTGTTAAATCTTCTTTGAACGAACCCTTTATATTGCTCAATAAACTACTAGTGAAGGCCGGAAAATAGGTGTTTTTGGATAAACAATTAGAGATTCTCAAAAAACTACTTGACCAATATACTCCAATTTTGTTCGTATTAAGAAGTTTGAATCCTACGG